AGATCTACCACCTGCTGCCAAGTGCAGAAGACACACAGATACAGCTGAAGAGGGGGCCTCTGTGTGCATTTCTGCGTGCTAAGAATTTGTATTACCAGAAGTACTAGGTTCGCAGTCCTTTTACACACAAATTCCATTCCTGGTTACCCCATACTTTCTTCACCTCACCAGCCTAATTTAAGTGGAGAGGAAAGTGCCTTTTTGTTGTTGCCGTTGTGAAACCCAGGCAGATCAAATGCTAAGGAACCTACTGCCGGTGGATCTAGGTAACTTCTGCTCAGACTCTCAGAGCTTTGCTTTTCAGATCTGTCCTGTGGAAAGGGAGAGAGAGAGAAACTATGAAATGAGATAATTTTGTTTATTAAACAGTAAATGACTTGTGCTAACACTAGTAAACAACAATCAGCAATTGACTCCGCAATGAGTTGTCTAATAAAAAGTATGGCCCCACTTATTTTGTGTTACACTTCTAAAAGGATTATTGCAATAATTATGGTAAGCGTGTCCTTGTAACTACAATTTCAATAGAAAGTTAGTTTTCTTCCTTTGGCCTCTTCAAAATGGTTTGTGTGTGTGTGTGTAATTCTGCAACTTTCCCTTGATATATTTGGCAACATGCCATTGATGCAATAATATAGTCATACTTCATGTTACGTCCCACGGCGACCCAGAAGTTACTTCTGGGTTTCACTGCTCACACATGCACAGACGCACGAAATGACATCACGCGCATGCGCAGAAGCAGTGAATCGCAACCTGCGCATTCACAGACACGCATTCACAGTGGGTTGCGTTCTTTTCATGTTGCAAACGGGCCTCCGGAACAGATCCCATTCGCAACCAGCGGTACCACTGTAACGCATTAGTTGGGGATTTATACTCGACCACCTGCACATCATTCTGCTTCCTTTGATGTTCTGCAATGCTTCCTCAATGTTGTTGCATTACTGTCACCTGGAGGGGCACTCTGGTATTATAGCAAAACCAAAGTCGGACCAAAAATAAACCGGAATGTATTGCGGAGTAAGAAGTTACATGATTTCAGGAAGTTACGGGGCATAAAAAGAGTGATATGTCCGCCCTGAAATGTCCACAGGAGCAAACAGCACTGAAACTGGGATTGCGTATAACCACAGTAAAAATGGCTTTTAGTGGCATAAGTATGATGGTGATATGAGGGCATGCCATACTGGCACCCTTACCAGTTATTGCCAACACATAACCCCAGTGTTGAAAAGCTTACACCGGCTTCCTATATATCAGAGGCTGTCCACTCCTGATAACCAGTGACTAAGAATCACAAATGGGGAGAGGGCTCCTTACCTATGGGGTTTCCCATAGGCATCTGGTTGGCTGCGGAGAGAAGACAATGCTATTCTAGATGAGCAGTTGGCAAGATTCAGAAGGATTCTTCTTACTTATGACTTCTCTGACCATTGGGCATGCTGGATTCGGCTGGTTGGAGTCCAAGATGGAGTCCAAGACGGGTTATTTCAAACTCAGGAAGGTGAGGGCAATACCCAGCGGCGTAAGGGATGAGCAACGAAAGAGGGAAGCCTCTGAGACTTAAGAGATCATGACTCCAAGTTCTAGCCAGAATCCATAGCTGCGAGATTAAAAGTCACACCAGCGGAGCTTCGTTCTACCTCGTTTTTTGTGTAGGCGTGCGATTTCTCTGAAGCACTTGTAGGAGCGTGGTGGCCTCTGAGGGCAAAGGAATTGGGAGCACCTACCTCTCTCTCTCGAGTGCCATCTTGTTGCTTTGACCAGTCACCTTTTCAATATTTATGTTTTATTTTTATCTCTGTATTAGTGAGACGTTATTTGTGCATGGGCTGTTGAAAATCAGTTCTAAGGGAAACACACTTCCAGCTGGTTTCCTCCTGTTTTCCATCTGCTGCCTGTATGAGCCTTTGGAGGCATTTAACTGTTTCCTGTCATGGTAATTGGTATTTCTGAGTACTGGAAGGCCTGGCAGGGAGGAGGTGAGGCAGTGGAAGCCTGAGGCATCTCTGTTTGTGCTTCGTTGATCTGATCGAGATTACCCTGCCGGATTCCTCGTAAACATTGCATTCAGAGGGTAATAATAGATGTATGTGTGTGTGTGTGGTTTTTAAAAATATATATAAAAAATAAGTTTTAAGAGTTAACTTCTCCAGTTGGTTCTTCATGGTCCTCTATTTATGCTCGGCTTCTCTCTCCCCCCCCCCCCCGTTTAATCTTAAATATGTAAATCCTCAATTTATCTGGAATTACTTAGTGAAAGACTGATGTGTGAGTGTGGCAGATTATAATATTCTAGCGCCACCCCTGATCCTCTTTACCTCTTATTCTTTTCATAGCAGATCAGGGAAGGGGGTGGGGTGGGGAGAAAGAAGCTGTATGCGTGCCACAAGAATATATTATTTTAAGAGACTCAGACTTAGAAATTGATTTCCTTGATGAGAAAAGGAAAAAGTCTCCTTCTGACCTGAAGGGTCACTTCATAATCCTGTCACTCAACATCAAAATGCTTCCCCCCCCCACTCCCTCCTTTTAGTAGAAGATGAAAATATTTCTGAAAAGGAATTAATTAATTTTTTTTTAAAAAATGGACACATTGAAAACGATGACTTAGAGAGACTTAGCTGCTGATAGAGGGGCTGTTTTATTCAGAATACATATCCTGTGATTAGAACAAGCTCCGAGTATATTTTAGAATCAGGCAGTTTTAGATGGAGATTGGTATTTGCAGTTCAGGACGAAACCGATCTTATATATAAATTTTTATCAACGTACTTATGGTATAAGCTCTAGCCTTCTTTTTCCTCTCCCCCTCACTCCCCCCCGCCCTGAATTTTTTAAGCAAAAGGATTTGGTCTGGGCTTTATAATAGGGATTCGTACAAGCAGCCAATCATTTCAATGTATGTGTTTTAGTTAACAGGATGGTGGAAAAGAAATGACTTTCCCCACCAATAATTAAGTTCAATGGGTAATACATTTTTAAAGTGCTTTGTGGAACAAAGAGCACCTGATACCCATGTAATGTTTAATAATCTATTTCATATAGAATTACAGGACCTGACCCCGAGGGTGTCTCACACAATCGAGCACTTAAAACTTGAGGATTCTGAATGCTTTTTGCAGAGTTATATTATACGGCTGCGTAGGGTACATATGTATTTAGAGGTGAATGAAATAATCTGATCACTTAGGTTACAAGGTGGCAGGGTCAGGTGCTGTAACAATGGGCTTCCCTCAAAGACAGAAGCCACACAGATTGCGAACATTATCACACAGATTAACCAATTTAATATGCTTAATAATAATAATAATACTTTAAAAAGTAAGTTATTAACGTTCTGTGGGCTGCATCCCAGTTAGAAAAGCAGCAAATGTGCAGATTAACTGTTTAGCAAGGAATGGCAGAGGCAGGGACAGGGAGGACTAAATTCACCCCCTTCCTCTGAACAGCAGAATGGAAGAATTGCTGATTTTCTAGTTCAGTTTTGCATCCACTTCTGCTGCAGCTGGATTTGGGTGGAGAGAAGAGGGACCGTATGCTTAGCACACCATCGAGCGCAGGATTCCTAATCCGATTTAGGGATGCATTTCAGAAGCCTGTTCCCTAGGACAAATGACCCCGACCGGGATTGGGGCAAATGATTCTGCCGAAGGTCATATTGAGACAAACTTGTGGCTGTGAAAGTTGAACTTCCACTTGCTGTGGGCTACAGTTCTGTTTTATTTATTTAGGAAGATTTACACACTACTTCATTTACAAATAGTGTATAATTATGGGAAAATCACAATCTCAGTAAATCATAGTTTGGCTTATCTTGTTGTGCCACAGCAATAGCACATAATGGTCAGGAGCTGACCAGGATATGCTTTTCTTATTTTACTGTTTATGCTCAGTATGTCTTACCTATTAGTCTGTTGTGCTCCCTGTTCGTTAATCTGAACTAAATACAACCCCCTCCGGATTATTATTCGCAGTCGTAAGCAAAGTGGATATTCCCAAAAGAGCAGGTGCCATCTCTTTCCATCAAGGCATTTACAAAGCCCAGGCAGGCTCCTCTGGAATTTTGGCATCTGAAGTAGCTGCCTAGTTTGCCTTTATGGTTGGGCTGGCTGGCAACATCATCTTGTTAAAACAACAAAGAATCTGGTGGCATTTTGCAGACTAACAAGTTTCTTATAGCATATGCTTGAGGGAGGTGAATCTCACTAGAAATTCATATTTTAATGTTTTGCTACATGCCCTTCACGATGGGAAATATTGTGTGTGAGGGGTGTGCAGGGAGAGATCACAGAACTCAAAAGTATGAAAGATCCCGGGGCAGTTTCCCTGTGGTCTCTGCTAACATGGGCATACAAGGAATTGAGAGCTTCTTCTTCTTCTTTCTTCTTCTTCTTGAATCATAGAATTGTAGAGTTTGAAGGAATCCCAAGGACCACCTAGTCCAATCTCAGCTAAAGCATCCAATGACAGATGGCCATCCAACCTCTGCTAAAAAATCTCCAAGGAAGGAGGGTCCACTGTCTCTTCTTCTTCTTCTTCTTCTTCTTCTTCTTCTTCTTCTTCTTCTTCTTCCTCTTCCTCTTCCTCTTCCTCTTCCTCTTTTCTTTTCTTTTTCTTCATGAAAAATTTATCATCTGCCTGGTCCCAGAGAGGGGTTGCAGCAATATAAAATTCAGAATTAAAATCAGTTAAAAAATATTACAGCACAAGAATGGGGTGGGTCCTGGAAGCACACATTTCAGGTGTAAAAGCTGTATAGTGAAGCAGCCAGACGCACTTCTATAGGGAGGGAATTGCGCAACTCCTCAGCTGCTACAGAGAATGCCCTCTCCCTGCCACCCCAACTTCTGAGTGAGCTGAAACTACCAAGAGGGCCCCCTCTGTGGATCTTAGCACCCAGTAGGGCCTATAGGAAATGCTACGCTTTTGATTACAAAGGTAAAGAGAAATAGCTGCTCAATTGCTATTTCTCTTTTGTTCTTTTTAATTGGGAAGGGGTCCTAGCTCAGTGGTGGAGCAGCTGCTTTGGATGCAGAAGGCCTCCGGTTCAGTTCCCAGCGTCTCCAGATAGGGCTGGGAATGTCACCTGTCTGAAACCTACCAGTCAGTGCAGACAATACTAGTTCAATAGACTTGCTTGCTAGAGAGGTTAAAAGCAACAAAAAAGGCTTTTATGGGTATGTCCGTAGCAAAAGGAAGAACAAAGAAACAGTGGGGTCACTCAGAGGAGAAGATGGTGAAATGCAAACAGGGGACACAGAAAGAGCCGAACTCCTCAATGCCTTCTTTGCCTCAGTCTTCTCCGATAAAGAAAACAATGCCCAACCTGAAGAATTTGGAGCAAATGATTCAGCAAAGGAAACACAGCCCAGAATAACTAAGGAGATAGTACAAGAATACTTGGCTAGTTTAGATGTATTCAAGTCTCCAGGGCCAGATGAACTGCATCCAAGAGTATTAAAAGAACTGGCAGATGTGATCTCAGAACCACTGGCAGTCATCTTTGAGAATTCCTGGAGAACAGGCGAAGTCCCGGCAGACTGGAGGAGGGCAAATGTTGTCCCTATTTTCAAAAAGGGGAAAAGAGAGGACCCAAATAATTACCGCCCAGTCAGTCTGACATCAATACCAGGGAAGATTCTGGAGCAGATCATTAAGCATACAGTCTGTGAGCACCTAGAAAGGAATGCTGTGATCACCAATAGTCAGCATGGATTTCTGAAAAATAAGTCATGTCAGACTAACCTGATCTCGTTTTTTGACATAATTACAAGCCTGGTAGATGAAGGGAACGCAGTGGATGTAGCCTACCTTGATTTCAGCAAGGCATTTGACAAGGTGCCTCATGATATTCTTGTAAAGAAGCTGGTAAAATGTGGTCTTGACTATGCTACCACTCAGTGGATTTGTAACTGGCTGACTGACCGAACCCAAAGGGTGCTCATCAATGGTTCCTCTTCATCCTGGAGAAGAGTGACTAGTGGGGTGCCACAGGGTTCTGTCTTGGGCCCGGTCTTATTCAACATCTTTATCAACGACTTGGATGATGGACTCAAGGGCATCCTGATCAAATTTGCAGATGACACCAAATTGGGAGGGGTGGCTAACACCCCAGAGGACAGGATCACACTTCAAAACGACCTTGACAGATTAGAGAACTGGGCCAAAACAAACAAGATGAATTTTAACAGGGAGAAATGTAAAGTATTGCACTTGGGCAAAAAAATGAGAGGCACAAATACAAGATGGGGGACACCTGGCTTGAGAGCAGTACATGTGAAAAGGATCTAGGAGTCTTGGTTGACCACAAACTTGACATGAGCCAACAGTGTGACGCGGCAGCTAAAAAGCCAATGCAATTCTGGGCTGCATCAATAGGAGTATAGCATCTAGATCAAGGGAAGTAATAGTGCCACTGTATTCTGCTCTGGTCAGACCTCACCTGGAGTACTGTGTCCAGTTCTGGGCACCACAGTTCAAGAAGGACATTGACAAACTGGAACGTGTCCAGAGGAGGGCAACCAAAATGGTCAAAGGCCTGGAAACGATGCCTTATGAGGAACGGCTAAGAGAGCTGGGCATGTTTAGCCTGGAGAAGAGGAGGTTAAGGGGTGATATGATAGCCATGTTCAAATATATAAAAGGATGTCACATAGAGGAGGGAGAAAGGTTGTTTTCTGCTGCTCCAGAGAAGCAGACACGGAGCAATGGATCCAAACTACAAGAAAGAAGATTCCACCTAAACATTAGGAAGAACTTCCTGACAGTAAGAGCTGTTTGACAGTGGAATTTGCTGCCAAGGAGTGTGGTGGAGTCTCCTTCTTTGGAGGTCTTTAAGCAGAGGCTTGACAACCATATGTCAGGAGTGCTCTGATGGTGTTTCCTGCTTGGCAGGGGGTTGGACTCGATGGCCCTTGTGGTCTCTTCCAACTCTATGATTCTATGATTCTATGATTCTATGATTCTATGATTCTATGACTAGTGGTCTGACTCAGTATAAGGTAACTTCCTTGGTTCCTATTAATTTGAATAATTAGTTCTACAAATGAGCACGCTAGGAGCAAAGGGGAGGAATAAAGATTGGGGTTCTGTATTTTGAAGGGGGAAAAATAGACTAAGTGCTGTCCCTTACACACACACACACACACACACACACACACACACAACTGTTCAGGTTGACAACATTCAGGAAATGGTGCTCTTCTGGAGAGATGACTGTAGTTACAAAGATAAACTGGCAGGAAGGTGTCTTTGGAATGAGATGAATTTAATGAATCATATCTGTATTTTTTTTTAATCCCCAGCTGCTCTTAAATTTCAGGGAGATTTGAACGATAAAAGATATTTCCTCTGTCCTCTTAGATGTGTATTAGAACAGAGACGGCTTGAAAATAAACCCTTCTGGGAATCAAGCCTCCCTATTCTCTAATTTGTGTTAAAGAAAGAAAGCACTGCCCATGCCCCTAAAACTCAGGAGTATATAATTAGTTATTTGCTATTACTAAAAAGGGTAGGAGTAGAGAATCTTTTTAGGTTTGAAACGCATCGAACAACTGTCAAAGCGAGAGGAGGCTGTTCCCGTTTGCCCTCCTCCTCTTCCTCCTCCTCCTCCACCCATCATGTTTCACATCTCTTATTAACACATTGATTTATTTAAATTAAAAATAATGATCTCCTTTCTCCCCCTTCGCTCTTCCCATCTGCAGAATCTCCCCACGATCCTTATTAACAAATTGATTGTGGGTATTGGTGTCAATGTGGCTCATTCGGTAGCCGGAGGTCCAGAAGGTGGGGGAGGGGGAGGGAATCCACATACGGCTTTTGGACCAAGCCCAATGCTAATTCAATTGTAGTGCGAGGGTCTGCTGTGGGTTAGATTCCCTGGGTGAGATATTAATGTGACAAGCAAGGTTATCATGCGAAACTAGTAGCATGGGCAACTCCTCTGCTGCTGATCTCTTCTTTATGCATTGAGAGTCTAGAGCAATGATGGCATCACTCAGTGTCCATGTGGCCATCTAAAGTGACCTTCTGACCCAATACCAAAAGTGACCTGCTATGGGATCGATAGTGGTTGTGCTCAGGTCAACAGAAGTTCTTTGAGCAGCTGGTATGTTACTCAATGAAGTGTCTTCTTTAAGCCGGAGCCAAAATGAATTGAGAGGGTCTGAGTGACAAGGACATCAAGCAAATCCAAATAGTCCCAACTGCATAGAATTCCTCCAGAAAATTATCATTCCTAAAATCTGACATGAGGAAATCAAGTCTCAAAATCTCATCTATTTGGCGTTCCAGTAACTGGACTTCAAATGTCTGCAGAACAGCAGAGACTGATGTCCATCCTCAGCAGAGGGAACATTATGAAGGGATCTCCTGGGATAAATTGTATGCCATATTTATTATCTTACAGGCCCATACTTAATTACTTCTGGCACGATTGGTACTGTGCTTTTATTAATATAATAATATTATAATATAATATAATATAATATAATATAATATAATATAATATAATATAATATAATATAATATAAATTTATTATTTATACCCCGCCCATCTGGCTAGGTTTCCCCAGCCATTCTGGGCTGCTTCCAACAAAATATTAAAACACAATAGTCAATTAAACATTAAAAGCTTCCCTAAACAGGGCTGCCTTCAGATGTCTTCTAAAAGTCAAGTAGTTGTTTTTCTCTTTGACATCTGGTGGGAGGGCGTTCCACAGGGTGGGTGCCACTACTGAAAAGGCCCTCTGCCTGATCTTGGCTTCTCGCAGTGAGGGAACCGCCAGAAGGCCCTCAGCGCTGGACCTCAGTGTCTGGGCAGAACAATGGGGGTGGAGATGCTCCTTCAGGTATACTGGACTGAGGCCGTTTAGGGCTTTAAAGGTCAGAACCAATACTTTGAATTGTGCTCGGAAACATCGCTGCATTCTGGATTAGTTGTAGTTTCCGGGTCACCTTCAAAGGTAGCCCCACATAGAGCGCATTGCAGTAGTCCAAGCGAGAGATAACCAGAGCATGCACCACTCTGGTGAGACAGTCCACAGGCAGATAGGGTCTCAGCCTGCGTACCAGATGGAGCTGGTAAACAGCTGCCCTGGACACAGAATTGACCTGTGCCTCCATGGACAGCTGTGAGTCCAAAATGACTCCCAGGCTGCACACCTGGTCCTTCAGGGGCACAGTTACACCATTCAGGACCAGGGAGTCCTCCACACCTGCCCGCCTCCTGTCCCCCTTATATAAGAAGAGCCCTGCTGTATCAAGCCAAAGACCCATCAAGTCCAGCATTCTGTTCCCACAGTGGCCAGACAGAGGAATTCAACCTAGGGAGCAAAAAGAAACAAACAAACAAACAAACACAGAAAACCACACACTATAAATAAGTCAGAAATTAGATTGTTATAACAAAATTTTAAAAACCCGTATGGAAAATTTTGTATAAAAATTTTCTGCTCTCTGGCACCATCTGGTGTTGCATGTTTATAGCACATTCAAATCGTTAATTCTTTACTAATGTAGCTGCATGTAACTTAGGGAATCACCAAAAAAGAGGATCTCATGATTTGCATGTGCTACTTTATTTGTATTGATGCAAAAATATGAAAAAATCATATAGAAAAACAATACCTCTCACCATAAGGGGGAACAAGGATGTGGCCAGGATCAGTGCACCTGTTCAGTCTGCTAACAGGCCCCTGCTCTCCCTTCTTACAGTTCTGCATCTTTAAACTAGACTTGAACCAGACAGTCCTTCAAATAGAGGTCTGTCCTATAACAACCTTTCAAATAGAGGACCCTCCACTGCAAAGCAGGGCATGTGGCCGTCCTAGTTAAATTCCTATCTCTTCAGCACCAATCTGAGCTGCCCTACCCTGTTTCTCAAAAAGCACGGGGCCACAGGTCTTCTGACATCATATCTCATTCCGACCTTAAGGTAAAGGTAAAGGGACCCCTGAACATTAGGTCCAGTCGTGACCGCCTCTGGGGTTGCGGTGCTCATCTCGCTTTATTGGCCGAGGGAGCCAGCGTACAGCTTCCGGGTCATGTGACCAGCATGACTAAG